GGCCTTGGGTGTGGCTTCTATTTGCATCACGTGGTCTCTTTCATGGATACTGAAATCAGAGTCTATCTTTTGTGACTCCCCTCCCTCTTTCCCATTTTGAGTCTTTCAGATGAGTTTTGTGGCTGGGATGCTTGTCTGCCTCCAGATGTCTGGTGCTCCCATTAACCAGGCCACAGACCTGCATTCCTTGCAGACATTTCACCAGGATGATAGGCAAGAAATTGAGTTAGGGGCTGCTACAGTGTTCCCAAAGCTGTCCAGTTGTCTCCTCATTTCAGGACCAGGGCAGTCTGGCTTTTTTCTCCATCTGGAGGGAAAGCGAGACTCGTGGGTGTGAGGTAAGCTTGGGCCTCAGGAACTGCCTCTGCCCTTTGGAGATCTGCCAGAGGGAGAGGAGGTGGCACACACCCACCATTGTCTGCTTTTGTCTGCCTGCAGCTGGGGAGGAAGAGCCAGCTTCTCTCTCCTAGGCCAGCCACACTGCTTGTCCCAGGGGCCCGGCCCACCTTCTGCTGAAGGCTCAGATCCTTCAAGCACTAACCAGGCCTGATTCTGTTTGGCTTTCAAAATCGGATGAGATTAGATTTTTTAGTTTTTAAACAGAAAAAGACAAGTTCTTTCTCTAACTGTGGAGCATGATCATTTCCCCTGCCGAGTCCAGGAGACACAGTTGCAGATTCGATCCCCTAGTTTCCTGATGTTCTCCTATTTGTAGAGTTTACCGTCCCTCTCCAATAACGACAGCACTTGGACTAACAGCACAGTTTTGTATTTTCTCTCAGAGATACCTGGTTCTGTGTCACCTTTCAGCTACTTACTCATTACTGTGACCAAATGCCCAACAAAGAGCAACTGAAGAGGAACAAGGCTTTGCCCTGGCTCTCCACTCATCATGGCAGGAAGGCGCAGCAGCAGGAGCCTGAGGCAGCTGGTCCTATTTCTTCTGTAGTCAGGGAGCAGAGAGAGATGAATACTGGTGCTCAGCTTACTTTTTCCTTCTCCCTTTTTATTTCATTAAGACCCGTAGGATGACGCTGTCCATATTCAAGGGGGGTCTTTCTTCCTCAGCTAAGTCTGTCCAGGAATGCTCTCACAGACAGGCCTATCAAGATGTGTGTCTCCTAGGGGATTCTACATCCTGTTCGGTTGAGAGTGAAGATGGTCACAGTTCATAATCTTCCATGGCTGTTTATCAGTTTGATGGCGTGTTGTTGACCTAAACCAATGGCTCTCAAACACATGTTCTATGGGGGACTGGAGCAATGAAGGTCAATAGCCACCAGGTACCTACTTGGTTTATTCACTCAGTGTGTGTTAGGTGGTGCTGTGGGCAAGCTGCTAGGCTGGCCAGTGAGGGTGCAGCAGAGAGGTAAGCAAGCCCAGTGTGCTCCAGACTCAGGGAGGAGTCAGCTGAGAACACAAGGCTTCCAACAGTGGTTCATGACACCAGCACCTTGAGATGCTTGCAATCTAAAAGTACAAATTGAATACTTGGGAGGTAGAGGCAAGAGGATCAAGAGTTCAAGGCTATCCTTGCTATATAGCAAGTTTGAGGCCACATAGCTACATGAGACCATGCCCCCCTTTCTCTCTCTCTCTCTCTCTATATATATATATATATATATATATATATATAATAAAGTGAAATGACAAGCTGAATTGACCTTAACAACACAAACACACACAGCAGCACCCCCTTATCCATAAAGCATATATCCCCAAACCCCCAGAGGTCTTAGAATATATCTGAAGCTTCAAACAGTACCCAACTCTATATATTCTATGGTTTTCCTTATGCATACCTATAAGTTTTTTTGTTTTTTTTATCTATAAGTTTTAATCTATAAATTAGACACAGTAAGATATTAGCAATGACATTTAATGATACAATCTTGCAATTATAGCAATATATTGCACCAAAAGTTATTTTTAATGTATGGATTGTTTACTTCAGGAATTTTCCATTTAATATTCTCGGACCATGGTTGACTATAGGAAGCTGAAACCATGGACAAGGGATTACTGAAAGCCCAGCTGAGACAACTGCTAGGACAGTGTGCTCTAAAAGCAGTGACAAGGACCTCTCTCATCTGCAGATCAAGGTGGGCTTCCTACAGGAATAGACTTGGGGGCTGCAGCTTGGGGTGAGATGTCGTACTGGGAGAAGAGGCAAGGGAATCATGTGCAAGGCACGTGGACCTATTGGTTGGTAGGAAAAGCTGTATTTAGAAATCCAAAGGCACAGGCTACCCAATCTCTGACCCAGTATTTGCCTTCCACAAATCTGGCTTTGTCCTGGTGCACATGAGTGATCTGAAATAGTCCTGTCCCCGCCACCCCAATCTTCTCCTAAAAGTCCTTCTGAAGTCCTTGTTATCTAGCCGGATCAAGTCCTGGCATCTTGGCTGGGAGCTCAAGGCCCTTTGTTGTCTCATCATATCCATCACGGGTGATGGCGGCATCATTCCCTGTCATGTCCAGTGAGGTCCAGTTTCTTCAAGGTCTCCTTCCAATGAGTCTATGTCTTGTCATAACTACTCATATTCTATTCATCATCTATCCATATAATTGCTTGCCTGCCTGCCCGTTTATCCATCTGTCCATCCATCTGTCCGTCTATCTGTTCATCCATCCATCCACCCACCCATCCATCCATCCATCCATCCATCCATCCATCCATCCATCCATCCATCCATCCATCCATCCATCCACATACCCACCCACACATACATACATACATCCTATCTACCCACCCATCTACCATCCACCCACCCATCCATTTCTGGGGAAAGAGGACTTAGTCCACTCAATATTCATTACAGAACTCAGATGTTACTTCTTCCACCACTCACTGGCCAGAATTAGCTAACTCCTGATCTATGCTCCTGTATGACCTCTTTTATACTCTGTTAAAGGAAAGAGGAAAGGCTGCCTGGAGACATAGAGGCACCTCAGGCAGTATTTTATCTAGGCCAGACAAGATTATGCTGCAGTGGTGGCAAATTAGCCCAGCAGTCTCAGTGTTTAAGCACAACAAAGATTTGTTCCTTTGATGACTATGTTAGGTAAAATGTGTATGACATCAAATTCACCTGCTTAAATGGTTCAATTAAATGATTTTTGGTATATTCACAGAGTTATGCAACTATCACCATACCTAATGTTAGAAATTTTCCCTGTGCCATGAAGAAACCCTATACCCAGGAACACATGAATGAATGGTCTCTCCATTGACTCCTCAGCCCAGCTCCTGGCAGCCATCAACCTGCTTTCTGTCCCTGTCTTTTCTGGGAATTTCACAGAAAGAGTCAGGCACCACATGGCCTTTTGTGTCCAGCACTTTTTCCTTTAGCACAATTTGTTGTTATTGTTGTTTACTATGTAAACCAGGTTGGCCTGGCACCCACAGAGATTTGCCTGCCTCTGCCTCCCAAGTGCTGGGATTAAAGGCGTATTCTACTACACCCAGCAAGAATAATATTTTCAATATTTACCCTTGTGGCATGGATAAGCAGTTCTGAATATTTTTATTGCTGAATAATGTTCCATTGTAGGGACACACCATAATCCATGAACCTCTTTATCAGATTCTGTGCTATTATAAAAACTTTATTTCTTGAGTGGTAAAAGTCCTCAGGGAGCCTGACCTGATAACCCGAGCAGCCTTGTACTAAGACTCAAGAGACTCAAGGATGCTTCTGTTTTGTGGCTCCACTCCCTGAGCAAAGACCCCTGCTGGGGAAGAGAGCAGCTAGGCACACTGATCAGCTCTAGGAAGCTTCTGTTTTGGACCTGAAATCTGTTACCTCTGCTAGCAGCCTGCCAGCCAGCATTAGCCACCAGGCCCTGGGTCACTGCAGAGGGCTGGAAGGGAGCCTTTTTCTGTGTACTCAGGAGGAAAAGAGCCAGACGTCCGTGAGCACGAGTCATTCTTCCAGGCAGGCTAATAATCAATCGGGCGCCTCTTTAAGCTCTCATTCTTCAAATGTCTAAGAGAGTGTTTGGAGATGAGGCTGGGCGATGTTGGGTGTTGAGAATGCAAACAAATCGGCCTCTTGGCAGTATTTACTCTCTCTGTTGTCTAAGCGAACAGCCTGGCCTTCAAACTACATCTCCATTTGGCAAAACAAAAGGCCCTCAACCAATCTCAGCTTTCTCCTCTGAAAGGTGAGTTAAGGACGGGATGCACACATCTTTAGTCATACTTTCTGGTGTCTTATCACCCTGCCTAAAAAGTCCCCAAAAGAATTCTTCCCAACCTGTACAGCATTCTTCGAAGGAATTTTAAGGACAGTGTTGTAGAGACAGCTGCCTACCTGCCTTCTTCCCTCTTTCTTTCTTTCTTTCCCTCTCTGACAGTCTCCAGTAAACCACACTGGCTTCAAACTCGCTCCATAACTGAAGATGATCTTGAACTTTTCATCTGTTCGCTTCCTCTTTCCAAGAGGTGGGATTATAGGCTTGCACCACCATGTCCCCTGTACGTGGTGTTGGGCCTTGAACCCAGGCCTTCCTGCCTGTTCGGTGAGTACTGTACCAACTGAGTTAAGTCCCCAGCCTCTCCCACTACTTACAGAAGGTAGTGCAGCCCTATAAACTGCCGGCTTTCTTCTTTTTCCTTAGGAAGACTCTGATTTCAGTTGGAAACAACAGTGTGCCCACATGAAAGACTGCAGCTCTCCCCTGAAGATAAGAGTGTCAAAAGACAGAACCCGAGTGAGGCTCTCATGAAAGTTCTTTAAAGGGCATTGACAGCACCATCACCTCTTGTCATCTTGGTCTTTCCTCCTGCTTGGAATGAGCATGTGGTAGTTGGAAGTGAAGCTCTGATCTTGTCACCATGACTTTGAAGATGGAAGCCATGAGATAAGAATGTCTATTTGATGATGTCGCACCGTACCTGCTCTACAGTGCTCTCTTCTTTGATATCAGAGAGGGAGGAAATAAAATACAAATGTGTTTGAGCCACTGTAGTTGGACCTCTGATATGACTGGTGTTACAGTCAGTCCTCAGCACTGTGCTTGTGGCAGAGAGAGACAGAGAAGGAGAAGTATAGAGATATATCTACAGGGATGGATAAGGACAGGGCAAAGGCCCTTATCCCCAGCATAAAGGAGGACAAGATTATGGGGAGTAGAGGGAACTGGGAAGGTGGTTGGAGAGAGCAGCTGAGACAAGTTAATGATTAGGATTCTGACAGTGTCTGATAGCTCCAAGTTCAAATTCTGTACCATAAGCCTTGCAGTGAGGACAGACTTGCTGCTCTCATGGCCATGGCACAGAGAAAGTGTTCTATGCCATTATACCAACAGCCAAGAGCTGTGTGACACACTAACATGTCAGGCACTGCCCTCGGGGCTTTGCCCTTGGTCATCCACTGAGCTATAACTGTAGTCCTGTACTCATTGTAGGGACAAATGTCTCTACCCTTGTCACCCTCCTTCTTCAAATAAACCAGCTGTGATCCACCAAGGCCATTGCTAACCAGCATCAGAAACAGGACAACAACCATCTGCGGTTGAAACCACCTATTGGTATTGGATCTACACTGCCCCCCACAGGCCAAGGCCCCAGCCTATGGTGCCCCTGGGAGGCAGCAGAACATTCAGCAGGTGAAGCCCAGTGAGAGGAAGTGAGATCATCAGAAGCATGCCCGTGAAGAGAATTGTAGGACCCTAGCCTCTTTTCCTGTGTTCCCTTCACTTTCTAGTTCCTTCCCTCAAGTGTTTCCAGACTGTGATGTCTTGCCACAGACCCACCACAGTAGGGCCAACCAATTAAGGGCCTGGGAGCAAAAACAACCCCTTTCTCTTTATAAGTAAATTTGTTTAGGTGTTTGTTAAAGTTGCAGACCAACTGCTAGGGTCCTTAAGGTTTGCTAAAAAAAATCAGCCTCCCCTGATCCACAGTGACAGCTCTGTGGGCCAATGGTGTAGTTGTGATCTGTTGTTCTGGCTCCCTCCTTTGAGAGTTCATTGTTCGAAGCTATAGGATGAGATGTCAGAAGCTGCAGGGCTTCTGGGTTATCTGTGTGATGGACTCTGCTCACCCCAAGTGTTGTGGTCCACACTCAAGCTTCAGGCAGCTGTTGTGCAAATCACCAAGTCAATCCTACAGATAAGTAAGGATTTGCTAAAGGATCTGAGGGCTGGGGGTGGGGGGGAGGAGCATCTCCCTGCTGGGATGCTGACAGGGAAGCAGAGAAGCAGGACTTAGACTCTGGAGAGAATGAAGAGAAATTGGACCCAGTTCCACCGAGTGACGGTTGCTGGTGGTGGTAGGAAGGAAAGGCTAGGCAGAGAATGCGGTCAGAGGGCAGAGGGGGCCAGGGCGGCCAGGGGGGCGGGGGGGGGGGAGTACAGTACAAGGGTAATTGGTGCCAACCCAGTGAACTTGCCGGAACTGAAGACATGTTTACTTTAAAGAAACTAGTGAAGGCCCAGTGTGTTTTTTGTTTGCTTGTTTTTCAAGAAAGGGTTTCTCTGGGTGGTCCTTAACCCAAGACTTCACACAAGTGCTTGGCCACTGAACTACACTCCCTTAAACATTTTTTTTTTTTTTTCTAAATCTGAAGAGATTGCTCAGTGGTTAAGAAAGCTTGCTGCTCCTTCAAAGGACACAAGTTCTGTTCCCAGCATCCATATTGGGTGGTTCACAACTTCCTGTAACTCCAGCTCCAGGGGATCTAACACCCTACACATGGCATATAGTCACATTGACACACATGTAAATTAAGAAATAAGTCTTTAAAATATTAAAATTATTGAGCTGGGTATGGTGGCTCATGGCTTTAACCCTAACACTTAGGGGGCAGAAGTAGGCAGATTTCTGTGAATTTGAAGCCACCCTGGTCTATACAGTAAGTTCCAAGCAAGCCAGGGCTACATAGTGAGACCCTGTCTCAAAAGAATTTAAAAAAAAAAAACAAAAAATCAAAACCAACAACTTTTTGAACAAGGCACAAATGCCTTCATTTAAAACATATATGTAAATTTTCTAACATGGAAGAATACAGTTTTGTAAATTTCCTCCCCAAAACACAACTTTTTACAACTGCATGTACTTATTCATTATAAAAATTCTTCAGTTTTTTGTTGAAACTCTTAAAAGTCTGAGATGAGCAACATGCCCAGGGACAGCTGTGTATGTGTGTGTGTGTGTGTGTGTGTGTGTGTGTGTGTGTGTGTGTATTCACCTAAGAAATACCTATGTGTAACCTAAGGATAGTGTTTAAGAATACAAATTTAAGAATCTTGTATCAATTTACAATAGCTTGGGGCTGGAGGGATGGCTCAGCAGGTAAGAGCTTTTACTTCTCTTTCAAAGGACCTGTGTTTAGTTCCCAGCTCCCACACGGTGATTCACAACTGTTTGTCCCATTTCAGGGAATCTGCTGCCCTCTTCTGGCGCCCTCAGGCTCCTGCATGCATGCACACAATGCACATAAACTCACACAGATGCACACATATACATAAAAAATATTAATTTTTTTCAATAACCAAATAGTGTACAATGTGCACCTGACATAATTTATTTCAGAAACTTCCTATTCAGTTCAGCATTTAGACTATTTTTCCCACCTCTCTTGTCTATTTGCTTTACTTTAATTAGCTTTATGTCTTGTCAACTCATGGTTACAAAGTGGCTGCTGTGGTTCCAGGCATCACATCTGCGATGGTTAGTCTTGACTGTCAACTTGATTAAATTGAGAAATAACAAAAGGAAGAAGCCAGATCACATGTCTGTAGGACTTTGAGGGATATCACAAATGTTAAAAAAATGTTTGTTTTTTGGACTGTTTAAATAGTTACAGTCAAGAGAGAGGAGTGTGGGTGTGGGTTTTGGGTTAATCAATCTGCCACGTGGGGCCCAAGTATTTAAATTATTTAAAGGGAATTGGTCTACAGCAGTGACAGACTTGGAAGGCTTTATTCCCCAAAGCCTTGTGTGCAAATGTGAGGTATATAATTTATTAGCGGTGGTGCTGTTTTCCCAGCAGATTAAATATGTCGTGTTGTTGCTAATCCTTGGGCAACATCTCGGCTAATTGGCCACCTCTGTTAGAAAGATGTTGTTAAAATGCTGTTTTTACAGAAACAGCTTTTTTTAGGCCCAGAACCAATTTGCTTGTTTAGGCCCTGTTTTGATGTTCTTGTCACCTCCCACAGCATTGGGAAGCAGCCGTAGACAAGGGATCCAAAACCCTGTGTTCATTTCTTAGTTTTGCCACTGGACCTTGGGTCGGCATCTCCCAGGCTCTGACTCTTTAACAAAAAGAGGAGAACAATAAATTCTATAGCCGCCCACGGCTGGAGCAGTGATCTTATTGGGAAGGAAGAGGGCTGGGGAGAATGTTCAGTCAAGTGGAGGACCTGAGTTCAGACCTCCAGAATCTACATCAAACCCTGGGTGTGGCAGCATGCATATATAACTCCAGCCCTGGCAGGGGATGTGGGAAGGAGATGTGAGGATCCCGGGAGCTCCTGGCCAGCAGTCTAGCTCAATCGATGAGCTCTGGTTTCAGTTAGAGACCCTGTCTTAATAAGTAAGATGGGGAGACAGAGAAAGACACACAATGCCAACCTCTGGCCTCCACAGGTGCCCACATGGGCAGGTGTACCTGCACACTCATATGTACACCCACACATAAAAAACATGTAAGAAGTTGAAGGAGGAAGGATATGGATGTTGGTAGTGATTGTCCCTTCTTGCTGCTTATTTGGGGTTCTGTGGAATCAATGCTGGGGCCTGTTGTTCTTTGCTGATTTTGCAAGAAAGGGCAACAGCTTGATGTGTAGAATTAGTGATGTCTATAGTGTGAACAGCTGTGGCTGTGTCAAGTGACCAGTCCCCTAATGTTTAACAGACCATCTCACGAGCAAGTGCAAGCCCGCTTCACAACACTGGCCTAGAATATGAAACTTATCACCAGATAGAGAGGTGTCCCAGCTGGATCACCATCAGCATCTGGATACAATTGACAGATGTGGTTATCAGTCAAACCTCATTTTGTTTCCTGGCTTTCGTATCTATTTATACCCTTCCATTTGTAAGCTAGCCTTTCCTCAATATGTGAAAAACTTTTATAAATTCAAAAGGTAAGCAGTTTGCTGAGTGAATGGATGTTTAGCAGGGAATCACTCTAGGTCACTCAGAGAGGACTTAGGGCAGAGAGAAACCACGGAGAAGGAAACCTTTGCATGCTACTCATCTAACTGTGAATGACAGAAAAATCAATGAAAACCAAGATACGATATAAGAAATGCTCACTGGCTCCTTATATAACAAGGTTGTTTAGTTTTCCTAATCTAAACAGGGAAGGGTAGATCTAGGTGCTCAAATAAGGTATGTAAGAATTCAGGCATGCTTTCCCTTCATGGTGGCAAGTGGTTACCAGAAGTTCCAGTTCATTAACCCTGATTGAAACAAGAATGCTTTTACATCTTCTGACAATCCCAGTGAAACTTGAAGAAACTGCTCTGATTGGTCCACCTGGGATCATGTGTTAATCTCTGAGTCAACGATGGTGAACTAGAAAAACAAGGAAATAGAGTACTCCCTAAGGCCACGTTTGAGCCATGTGTGGATTCCCAGAGATGGAGATGTTGTCTGCCATTTAAACACAAGGCTGGAGCATGCATGACGGTAGATCCCTAAGGGAACAGTAGAATTGAGCTAGCAGAAGAAAGGAGATGGTGATAATTAATTTCGTGTGTCAGCTTGACTGACTAAGGGCTGTCTAAACAGGTGTGATCTCTCAGGGTATCTATGAGGGTGTCCATGGCAGCAATCAATGTTCGCCTCAGCCCCCATCCTTCCCCCTTCTTTCAATGGGCGGCCATCGTGCAATTGATGTGGCCTGGGTGGGAAGGAAGGCAGAGGGAGGAGACGACAATCTCTTGCCCCTTGAGCCGAGACTTGTGGTCTTAGTGA